TGTCTTTTTATGGCGGTATTCTCGCTCGTACCGCACTCCATCTGTTTCAAGGAGTCATCGGTCACTCCTCAGAAAGGCCGCGTCCATCACTGTCTGATGGTTTGATGAAATACGTTTGTTCATTTACCTGGTAATTGTGTGTTTATGAATGTGAATTTTTTATAAGTATTTATATAGTTCTATTCAATTTTAATAGTATAACATACCTAAACTTATCAAGAGGAATATATACACTTTAATTAATAAAATTTGTACGAATTATCGCGAAAATGCGGTTTTCTTTGAACAAAGAACTTTTTTAAGTAATTGAAATGATAACTGTCGTCTATATGCAAGAACAGCACTACGACATTAGCACCCAGGTTCGGCTGGAAATCATCAAATTAAATTCCTTGCCTCGAACTTACTGAATAAGAGGAGTATGTGGTCTAGTCACATACTAATCTTATTCAGCTCATCCTGCACTGCTGCACCGCCAGGGTAAACCGTTAGCGTAGTGTGTACACCATTTCATTATTATCCATTAAAAAAAAACTGATACACAGCTTACAAAGCTTAGTTGAGAATGGCTGAAATGGGTGAGACAACGGTATTAAAGCAAGACTTTTTAAAACTAATACGTTTTCCTCTGTGAACGATTTAAATAGTAATTATTTTTACACCTCCATTATATTTCACAGTATTAGTTATTTTTTCATTTCATTCACCTCCCAATGTAGTAATTGAAGAAAACATAATATAATCATTTTATAATAGAGAGCGGTACTCCGCAATGGGACGTTAATGGTTTGTTATTGTAGGTAAATTTGAAACTGGAATTCAGGAAACCATACAACACTTTATGTAAACAGTCAAACTCGATAATTTAGATTCTGAAACAACCGAAGATAACAAATACCTATTGTACTATTGAATTTGTTAGCTTTAAAAGTATATAGGTATATGTAAGTGTTATTTTTATTATAATATGTATATCTTAGTTAGATTTTTTATAACAGGCGTGGCGTTCATACAGAACTGATGTGAGTAAATGTGATAGAATAGAATAGAAATAGAAATAGAATAGAATAGAATAGATAATTACATATTAATCAATTTGTATTATAAGATACCATCTTTCCCTGCTTTGAGGAACTGTTCGTTACACTGGGAAATGATTTTGGATAGAATTTTAGGCTGTGATCAATCATTACAATTTATTAGTTATAATTTTACCGTTAGCTATACTTTATAATTAGCTCCTCCAATCGCAATTGAATATGTCCAAATTTTAAATTTAACTATTACTACTCACTATTAAAATTTTGTTCAAATCTTCCCAGTATATTGTGATGATGTAACAAAGGGCAGAGTATAATCAGTTCTAAAAATAGTAAATTCGCATTCTTATACTCATTTTTACCTCCCTACCTAATTTACGCAAAAAGTAATTAATTTAAAGACTGGTCGTCCCTTACCCTTTTATAATACCTACAAGTATTATTACATTATAAACATGAAAAGCTTATACTTTTATCACAGATTAGATAATTACTGCGTTGTTCTTTTGACTTTAATGTACAATAACAAGCATGGCATTTAACAAACTCATAAAATTTTTATGCTTATATTTTATTAATAATATAATTATAACATCCATTTGTTTTCAAGACAATTTTTCTATCAAAGTGACAAAATCATTCAAGAACATGATTGTATGACTGACTACAACTTAATATATAATATAATATTAATATGATCGTGGTGTCGACAAACTAGGACATCACGGACTGTCATGCCAAAAAAGTGCAGGCATTTTCTCGAAACATGCCGCACTTAACGATATCATACGCCGCCGGTCCCTCGCCAACGTGCATGTCTACTTGAGCCGACTGGTATTGTAAGAGACGATGGCAAGAGACTGGAAGGTATGAGTTTGATTCCATGGAACATGGGCTGGGTGCTGGTATGGGATACAACCTGTTCAGACACGCTGGCCCTATCCTATCTACATAAAACCAACAACAGCGCTGGTGGGGCTTGTGAAGCAGCTGACAAAGCTAAAGCATCCAAATACTGGGGTCTAGGCTCCGAATATGATTTTGTCCCATTCGGTGTCGAGACCCTTGGTCCGTGCTGTCCTAGCGCTATTAGACTTTTCAAGGAAATAACAAAAAAGTTAGTTGATATCACAGAAGACCAAAGAGCTGGCAACTACCTCGGACAAAGAATTAGTCTAGCCATTCACAGGGGGAACGCTGCCAGTATCTTCGGAACCTTGCCTAAAGGGACTTCTTTTAATAATATATTTTAGTTATTAATTATATTTTTAAGGTTTTTAATTTTAAGTTCTTTTTTGCACAATGTTCAGTCATGATGTAGTTACATCTTGATTTTATTTATGTTTTTAAAAATATTTGGATGTAGAAATTAATCGATTACTCTATATCAAGGTTTAAAAAGATGGAATAAAATTAAGTTAGGAGACATACTTTATAGATTACTGAACTAGTACTACTAATACTTCACGTAACTAATTCTAAAAGATACTTCTGCTAGGAATGAACTCTAACTATAATTTAATTTTGAACAATCATATTACCCTGGCAAATCTTACAATTTACAGAAAAATCAACATTTATAAGTACTTAGTTTCCATAAGTCTGTACTCACTTCAGTGCCATCACTGACCTTTCAAACATATCAAAGCTCATGAGACAAATTGCCTTATGGTAGAAATGTATGAGACTGGGATACGTAGAAGACTTTGTACAAAGTCTACCACGGTGTTGTGGACATATGGTATTACCTGAGATTGACACTGTTCGAGTACCTACTACAAATATATAATAACATGCATGTTCTAGAGATATACAGATACTGTATATCTGTAGAACATGCATGTTATTTTGAATATAAATTATCTCAAAATAATGTTGAGGTTAAAATATACATACTTTCTTTTAAATATCTAATATCTGTGTGCGAAGTGCAGAAAATGCTCGTTTCCTGCCCTTTCTTATGATACCCTCGTTCCGGTCTTTCCTACTCTTTGTATCCTACTTCCATAGTCACATTACTTAATAAAATAACTTTTTGTCCTTAGATCGCTTGACTGAATTATTCTATAAAAGGACCGACTTTTATTGCCAACTTATGGTGAATAGCCTCCTTTCACATAAATTTATTATAAATATTTTTCATATTTATAGACATTTTAATTCGTTGTTAGATCTACAGCGAAAATAAATTATTCCTACAATATTACTTATTATAATATTAATTATGTACTTTTTGGCACTTTGTAGATCTAAGTAACAAACATAAAATATTTAAACATACATACATATGTACGTTTAAATATTTTATGTAATAATTTGGAAATAATGTTTTTATATTATAGAAAAAATAGTGTTCTTATTTTCATAGATCTAATCTGAAAGTTTATACATTTTTTATGAGCACCTTTAAATGGTCGAGGAATAAAATATTTTATTTTCTGTAAATTAGATTAAAGGCATATGAATGAAGAATATTGGAAACGCAGTTATCACATACTGTACGATGAGATACATAGTCATTGTAGTACCTGGTACCAGCTGGTTCATTAATTAAAAGTTATTTTCTTTACAACTGCTTCCATATATTTTTAATTTTAGTGTAATATGAATATATATAATTTTATTTTGGGCACTAATAGGTACTGTAAAATATTTTTATAACAAATAGCTAATCTGGCTCTATAATTACGGTTTCAATAATTGTCTGGATTGTTTGTTTTTTAATTAAGATTATCTATAATAATTATTATTAATATTGTAAAGAAGTAAAGACCGTGAGTACTACAGCTGTCCTTGATTAAAGGGCTATCAAACACTAAAATAATTTACAAAATCGTAATACAAAACATACTAAATATTCAGGATAATCTTTTGTATTACTATTAATTATCAGATTTTGTAAATTATTTTAGTGTTGGATAGCCTATTAATCAAGGAAGGCTGTAGGCCATATAATATTACGTTGCGATAAATAGGGCCAGACCTGTAATAAAAAAGTTTCAAAAGTGGGGAAAATGTAACGCAGATGAAGTTGTATTTAGTTGTTATAACAAACTGTTGGTTTACAAACACATTATGTTTTATTTATTTGTTAACTATAAATAAAAGATATTAAATCAAAGACTGACTTATCTGTTTATTTTGAATAATAAAGAAACATATAGAATGCTTGTATTTTGTCTCATTTCATTGAGGCAAAACTGTGGAATACAGCTGCGGCTACAGATCAACAAAATGTGAACGCTGTGGATCAGGTGAAGCATCAGCCCCTTTACTATTTCTAGTAATATAAAGATTTATCCAGTATCCTTATGAAGTGCGAAAGATCAGAGAACTAAGTTTCTAAGACTTTTTATACTTACTCAGTGTTTTCATTATAAGTTTTCAGTTCTCCTTTGTAGATGATGTTAATCCATATTACTTCTTAATGGAGGAGAATTTCATATACATTAGAGTTTTGATATTTGTTATTAATATATGAGATTTTGCGATCTCTTCTCCAATTTGGAACTGATTGTGATGTTTTTTCAATAATATACAGTTAGTTGTAATCTCGTACCTACGATTAATATTGTCAATATTTATATATATCGTGTCTTAATAATTTATATTTGATGTCAAAGGTTTCGAGCGATCTCTGCATAATCACCCACTTTCACGTTATATATCTGTTTTGTTATTCTCCTTATATCTGTAAAATCATATGCACACTATGCACCTACACACATCAAAACAAACAACATTACCAAAATAAAAGACATTAGTGTCCGCAATCATTTTATTACTATTCTGGTATGCTTACAAATGTTCAATTAAGTAGTTAAATACATCTACATTTTGATAATTTAATACACAACCCTTTCAATAACTACTCGTCGTCAAGTTAGCGAGTTTTTCAGAATGATCGCCTCAACGTAATCTGAATACATATAATGTATTTTTGGCTGACAAGAGATTACAAACATAAAGTAAATAATTTTATTTACACCTATTAATATTTACACACTTCTATAATTATATTTACAAGAATCTAATTCTCTTAGTATTAAAAATCTCAATTAATTTATTCTCAAAGATCCTATATTTATAATATTGATATTATAACCTAAATAATTTTTCAATAACGTTATAATACAATTTTTTACTTGTCCACGACAAGTCACAGTTATATAAATTTGTCTACAAATGAAAGAAATAAAGTTGTAAACACATAGAACATTGATAAAGTGACCTTATGTCTTACTTACCCTTTTGTCTTGTCCGTTTACTTAGAAACTCGTAAATTTGTTTGTGTCCTCACTCTTTCCACATAAGTAAGGAAAACAAGGACAAACATGGTATAAAAACAAAAGTAACTGAAAGTAACGTTTAGTACTGATCCGGCAGATATGCTACGAAATGATCTGGAATGGAACCATGTTATTATCTAGAGAATTCAGTATAAGTAATTTTTACTAATTCCAATAAATGTATGTATAATGTATATGTGTGTTAACTCAGTAACTATGCAAGTATAAACATATAAATAAGATTTATCAAGTCATAAAAAATAAGATCATAGACCGTAATAATACCGAATAATATATCTAAATTCAAGCAGTGAATTGGAACTTTCATTAAATTAGTCATATACTGAAGAAAAGTATGGACTTAAAAGTATTTTCTTTTCTCTGAAAAGAAAGAACGGACATCTTGAACATTGATAAGAGTATGTCAATTGACGAGGTCGTTTGAAAACTAACAATCGCATCTCTTAGTAAAGGAAAGGCAGTCGAGTACGTACTTACGAAATAAACAGTCAATAGTTTCAAGATATTACGCTCTACTTTTAATGACGAAAAGGTTACCTTTTAGAAACGTAAAAGTATCATTTATACCAATTTTTATAGGATTTAAAAACACGTTTTAAATTTAAGTTTTAAATATAAAAAAAAATTACAATTGAATTATTTTAAAAGATTTTCTTGCTGCCTATGTATTTTAGGTAGAAGGATAGCATTAATGTTTGTATGCAGAATATTTTTATAATATGTGTTTTGTAAAAGACAAATAATGTTTTAATATAGATACAATATTGCATTCTGTCTATGCCTGTAAAGATAACCGTGCAAATAAATAAATATTTTATCATTTATAAATATTATATTCCATGCCGCAACGATGAGTAACCGAATCTCTGTTGATTTATAGCGTATTCAACGAGTTTAATGTATTTTTTTATTAATTTTTTTTGTACCAACAATACCGTAATTCGTCAAAATAATAAATCGAACTGAAATATATTTTCATTGAATTTGCCTAATAAGTTTTCAATTCAATCGACGTTGGACCTTTAATGAAACGAGTATTATTTATTAATTATAGTTATATTTATTTATTCCTCTTGAAAAAAACTGCTTGAATAGTCGTATTAAAATATATCAAGAACTACATCGCAGTGATATCTTCGAAATGCGAAGTGAGATCAAAGGAATCGACAAAGTTTATTGTCGGAATGAGAATCGTCATCGCATACGAACATTGTCGACGCTTGTTTGTCCAACTAGATCGAAGGCAAATAACGTGGCAAAGAGAGCAACTGAAGGCTTAGATACATTACATATAGATAAGCTTCTTGCTTCCATTCAATCTTGGTTCGTTCCAGATTGGAATAACGAAATCGATTCGCTAGTAATCTCGGCACAGGATTAAGACGACGGGCGTAGTTAGCTGGAAAAACAAAGGAGAATCAGCTAAGGATAATCTTATAACGCTCCTTGTAAAGTAAACGCGTCCCGCTAATCTTCTTAGAGCCCGTTTATTATCGAAATTATTTTACTTCGTCTTTCATAAAAGGGTAAAATAACAAAAGGGTTTTATACTGTTTGAAGTGTCGACCATAAAATTGACGTATTACTTTTGAACATATTATTTACCTCATAGAAAATATACAATAATAATATCGTTGTATTTTAAATACAAATCACTAACAAAATTCAACAGTTTTTTAAACTCGTTTGTATCAATACAAACAGTTGTTTAATAATGTTACATAAAAATTATACAATTGTACTCTGTACATGGATTTTCTTCCGCAGTTTAAAACGTTTTGGAAGTCGTAGAAGTAACCACATAGAAATTGGTCATCTTAAAGACTGTTTTTCTAGTCTTAAATTGTTTATAATTTCAGTAAGATGGATATAGACATTGGCAGAAAAGATTGAGATGACTATCGCTATTATTGAGATGTGATGCCCAAAGAGCGGTAAGAGAAGTAGTAGCCAGGTGGTGGGCCGATTGTTGATGGCAGCAACAGTTGCGAGAATGGCGCTGTTCAGGTGATGTGGCGTAGATCCAGAGCTTTGCATGGCTGCGGGACGCTCGCCGCTCAGTACGTGAACTATTACCGATGCTGATTCTGTATAAATAAAAAAATAAAATAAAATTAGACACGCCTTCATTAGAGACCATTTTTGTGTAACAAAAATAAAAATAATTTTATGAAATTAGAAGCAGGTTCACCAGAGATCATTTCTAGTTGTTAGTTCATATAAATTAGGTCATGGGTTCGATTAAGACAGGCTTTATCTGGGCGTTGTGGATTATGCCCCAGATGTTTTGTTCACCGATGAGACTATTCAGTGCTTGCTAGCGTTTAATAGGTTTTGCATAGAATGTAAATATAAGTATCTATTATATTCAATAAAAATATATAAATGTTAAAGTTAGGTAACTATAAATGTGTTTATTTAATTATAACCAAACTATATAAAGAGTAAAGTTAACCTTTGGGAAATTTTTTTAATTTTTTTCTATTTAATTACTAGTAATAAATCTTTGGGTCTATAAATAAAATTAATTGACCTGTTGTTTTTATTTTGCAACTAAAACTTAAAGTAATATATATTTTATCTGTTTTTTGGTAGTAAGACATTGTTTTTTTTGTTATGCATATGAAGTTACGTAGAATATCGACAAATATGATACGATTTAATAGTCTATAAATAAAATTAATTTTTATTACATTATTATTGAAATAATCATATCAAGTTAAAGTGTTTTAATATTATATTATTCTTGCACACCAAAAATAAATATAAAGTCATAATATTTTTTAATCACTCATTTCTTACAAATCTTATTTGTACGTCCACACCATTTTATGTCAAAGAGATCTCTTTAAGAGATAATATAACAATAAAAATATAACATATTTTTAATTCATATCCGTCCATTTGTCATAATATAAAAAAAAATCTATTTTTTAAAATTTAATAATTTGTTGTCTTTATTATTATATCTTGTTATTAATATATTCGTTTGAATATAAAGTGAACGAGATTTATTACCACAGAATCTGTAAAACAAATAACGCCAATACTAAGATACAGTTTCTACCCTTGTGGTTTGAAGTTAGGTAGGACATCGAGGTCTTTGTTAATTGAATAGTCAACCTGCATTGTTTAGTCAATATAAACTGAAGTATATAAATCGATGCAGTTATGTACTCTAACTATAAGGCTAATGGGAAATAAATGAATCAATATGAACGAATTAAAGGCGATTAATCCAATTTTACAATAGGTAAACTCGCTCGTTACGCAATTATAAATCAATTTGTGTATCAGTTTTAATCTGGATAAACAAAATATTTAATACAACTGCGTTAGTAATGTCCCATTTGGTTATTGTAAATTACATTTGCTACGGTCGAGAGTCATAATTATGACATGCTACTATTATTACGGTATTAAATGCTGTTACGCTATATCTATGTGTCCAATACGCAACTTAAAGAGTGTGATCTTCAACTGATCTTTTCTGTATTTACCAGTTGTCTATACTCATAACATAAATATTCAAGTGTGTCTAACTTACTGCCTATCCATTTGCTATTTTTTACAATTAAATAACTGGACGGATTTCGACAGATAGGTAGTATAGTCTTGTAAAGGATGGATATAGGGTATATTTTACCTAAAATAAAGACCTATCCGGCCTAGAAATGCAATATACCTTTATTGTGGCCAAAAAGCAGATAAAGTTGCATGTAACAGCAAGTATTTATTACAAAAAAATAATTGGTTAGGTTACTATCATCATTAGCTATTTTAAAACACTCTTTGAAAAGAATTCCCGTATTACAATATCTTTATTAAATTCGTACTCGGTTGTAATTAATTCACTATAATTACTAGTAATACAGGTGTAGAACATTTAACGCTATTAACAACAGCCAGGAAATCGCTACTAAATTATGTCATGCCACCCCTTTACACAAAGGATTATGGGGCTGCATAGAAACAACCGCCGCGTGCAGGCAGTAGGTACATCCTAATTACATATTTACCCCCTAGCAATTAGTGTGTACGTATGTTGATTGATTAATCCGCAAACCGACAAAACTAGATATCGGTTGAATTATTTTAGATTGGTACACTTTGAAGTCCCAATTGACGAAGCAGTCTAATTGTACCTGAGTACATAGCATGAGTTACATTTAACAGACTTGATAAAACCAATCTATAAAAATATAAAGGTGAGTATTCGTCTTTGTTCGTCGTCACTTTGTTCATTTAAACGCTCTAATATTTGATTCTACCACTCAGATTTGAAAAATACTTTTTCATTTTCTAGGCTAATAGTCTAAGTTTAGTAGCTAGTAGTAGACGACGACCACTACCATCGGAAGCAAGGGGTGCTAAATCGCTAGAGGACCGACGACGTCAATATTTGCAAGATACTAATGAACAATATGTATAATCTGCATATTTCAACATGTTGCTACACTTTTTGTTAATAAGATGCATATGTAATGTGTTAACTAAAGTGTTTGTAAACTACTAATCATAATTGTATAATTCAACTAAACAAATAAAAAAGTCCCATAGAGATTCTAAGTGTTGAAATAATACTCGTATAGTTTAAGGACGATACGATGCGAAGCAGGACATTATTTCTACTGAACTAAACTGCGAGGCACAGTACCTATATTATATAGGTACTAGGTAATATATAGGTCTAGACCGTTCTAGAGTATTGATTACTAAATACACAATATTTCATTACTTTTTAAAAAGTATATTACTCTTATCTATGTTACGTATAACGGATATCTCTATCCTCCCACTTCCGTATTTAAACAAGCCGGAAGTAGAACAATACAGCTATCAGGGGAACGTTAGACTGACCTATAATAATCAGATATTGTGCGGTCTATTGTTTTCTTTTTGTTGTATAATAAAGAATTAATTAATATCATCCGATGAAGAATCTGAAAGAAAATGGATCGAATAAAAGATAAAGGACCCTGTAGCACGAATTGAAATAACGATATATATATATATATATATATATAACCGGTATTTTTACATATAATTTGAATGACAGACAAGCAGTCGCCCCATTTGGTAACTGGACTAAATCATCACCTCAGGTATTGCAATGCTGGAGAACTAAGATGTCATACCCTTTGTCTTTTCTTTTTATTATCTTTTCAAGCATGAGCGATATCACGAGAGTCACGTGACAACATGATGGCCCTAGTATTGTTTATGTGTATAGGCAATGGTTACTTATTTGTCATTCTAATTATATAAAAAAAAAACATTCACATGTTTACAATAAAACACATAATGTTCTTTGTGACATTTTTGGCGCAATAAAGTGTTTAATTATTATTATGGATAACATTTAGACGACCTCGGTGGTATAGCGGTTAGCACACCGCTTTACGATTGATGGTCGCGGGTTCGATTCCTCGCACGGCACAAACATTTGTATTCATGAGTATGATTGTTTGTATCGGTCTGGGTGTTTTCTATGTATAATAAGTATGTATTTACAAAAAAAAATATCTATGTATATGTATCAGTTCTCTAGTACCCATAACACAAGCTTAAGCTAGCTTAACTTGGGTCTAGATGGCGCTGTGTGAATTGTCCTGAGATTATTATTATTATTATTATTTATTACACCTACTTTTAAATTACTTGATATAGTAACATTTACTACTTCCACAATTAAATTATTACACCGCCCAATCTTAAAGTGAAGCAAAATGTCTTACTATAAGCCCGTTCCCCCTGAGCGTTTCCTTTGTCATTTTGTATTTACTGTTGTAATTATTCATGTTATTGGTAGTTAACATTAAAGAGTATTTATTATATGTATACATATGTGGACGTTGCAAGCGTAAACTGTAGGTTAATATACTTATTGGAAACACCTTCCTACTCAAACTCATTATATTCGCATAATTCTTTATTTATTTATTATACACTGAGCAACGTATAATTTAGTAAACTGTTTGAAGAAAAATTCCTTCAAAGACGCCATTAATTGGAGCATTATATTTGATCACAGACTATAATCAAAACATATTTAATGTTTTGTTGCTAGCCTATGGTAATACTAACTTCTTTATTAATAATAATATTAGACTTGTAAAACTCAAATTCTTCGTATACATAGAAATAATTTATTTCATTTGAATGAAAGCGATAACACAACAAATAGAGTTTGTGTTGTTGCCTTTTAATAGTTAATTGTCTCTTTAAGTAATATTTTATATGGTTTAAAGAAAGTCTATACTTGTAACGGCGTGAGAAAATAAATATACAGCTTAGTGACGTGTTAGTATAAAAAAACTTACCAGAACTGCTGGGGGCACACGTGTAGTTGCCGGAATCATGAGGAGCAGCTCGAGCTATTAACAGTCGGCTAGTGCGGGTGCGTTGTTCAGTTTCTACGCTGATGCCGCCTCGTTGTGCGTAGTTCACTACTTGTTCTCCACGGTACCAATAGATGAAGCTGCAATTAATTTTTTTCTACAATCATCAGTTCTGAGACAGTTAAGTGACTACCTTACATAGCGACTTATAAGATCAGTTTAAATAAGTTGTATTTAAATATGCTCCTAGTACATTAACAAGTATATAATGAAGATTAATTAAAGTAAATTTCTCATAAATGTATGTAGTTAAGAAATACTTTCAATATTCTAAAATTGATGTTACGTATATTCCTAATATTAATACATAGATATATGTATAATATATTTTTTAAATTCCAGACTCTCACTGAAGTACGCTGAAATAATGAAGCGCAGAATTCTCTAATTCAAACATCCCTCTTTTACCTCCTTCTCAAATGTATAAAACATATTTTTATTACAAATTTTATTTAGCTTGCTGTGGTTTATGTTGTTAAATCCTGCAATTAAATTTTAGAACGGTTCGTCTAGTACTTAAACCAATTGCACTAAACTTTGGAATATTTGTTTTGTATATCGGTACTTGTACATATATTTAAACTAATTTCATCTGTTTATATTATATAATATTATGTATATATTTAAATAATTGTCTGCCAACAATTCTGTCAATATATTCTACTTATGTATATGAATAACTTCGATGACAGTGCAATAATAAAACAACATAGTAGGTACTACCATATTGGTGGTCTGATGATAAAGCGGGAAGTTAGCAAATCGAAAATTGGAAGAAAACTATTATTTTACCTCATTAGGTTATCATTGAGTATATAGGCTTATTATATTTATCGCCATGATTACTTAATTTGAAGATATCTCCTATTTTCTGATTTTATATATCTGTAAAGACGATTTTTGTAAGATTTTAAAATACATTTTAATTATGATCTAATTTATTATTGTTAAAGTAAATATTATTAAAGTATATTTTAATATAAAATTATTTTAATTGTAATTCATCTTTAACTATACTTTTGCAAAGTATAGTAAAACATTAACACTACACAACCAATGCAATAAACGTGATAAAGAAATACTATTAATAATATTTACTTTATTCGATTTATGTATTCCACAGCATTTAGAAATATAATTCATAAAATTTTAATTAAATTGACTTGTAATTATAATTCAGGTGTTTATTTTCCCGCAATCAAATTGAAAGCAGTTTATTGTACTAACTTGGTTATGAAATTTATTATCTATTTATATTCGAATTACATATATCGCTCAGCTTTATGGTTATGTCATAGTTATGCCATAGGGAGTAAAAAAGCTTTTAGATACAATAACTTTTTGTTTGCTTTGTACAAACGTTAGATTAAGAATAAGGTGAGGCATTGACAGATAAGCATAGTATACTTAAAAAGATGTTATTTGGAGTTTTAGACCTTAGAACAATATTTTTTATGTATAACTGTTTTTGGAAATTAAACTAAATGTGACCTTGATATATTTATTTATTTATTTAATTATTTATAAAATTACTTGCTCTCAGTGAGTATTACAGTACAATACCAATCCACTCACTCTGTGGCAGTACAATTAAATATGTCAAGTGGAAAAAAAAATATATAACTCATTAAGCAGACGGAGTGCTCTTGGGAGTGGTGCATGATCAGCATTTGAGGTTCTACACAGGGGCAGGGCAAATAAATTGTATTTCCGATTACGCTTTCCAAGTTGTGGGACGTGAAAGCTGATCAGGCCCAATATAGTTGGATTATATCTTATTCCTCTGATAATTTTGAATACGAACTCCAGGAGTGATATATTTCGTCTCACTTCGAGGGCTCTATATCCCACCATACTTAAAAGGAAAGTGCTCGGATATATATGTGGATAACCTACTCGATAACCGTATTGTTTATAGTATAACCATCTTATAAACTTTTTTTGCAATCATCATTGAATATTTTGTCTCGTGTGGATTCCATACAATAGCGTTACTTTCTAAAATACTCCTAACCTAAGCATTATACAAAATTTTGATAGCTTCAACACTATTCAGATGTTGGGCCTGCCTCAGCACAAATCCTAGAGATCTGTATGATCTGCGACATATCCCTACGATATGTTCACGAAAAGATAAATCCTCACTCATTAACACTCCTAAATCGCTAACAGAGCTAACTCTTGGTAGACACGTGGAGTCTAGACAGTAATACACAAGGGTACAGTAAAATAAAAGGTTTTTTTAATCGACTGAATGTTAACACTGAACATTTGTCAATATTAAACATTAAGTCATTCTTCTCACTCCATTGTTTGGATTTGGGACAAATGAAGATGATTATTATTAATATTTCCACTGTTTCACAATATATATTGGTTATTTTATTTTTGGTGATGATAAGGTCGGGCTTATATCACCATGTCTTTTGTTTACACAATTGTATTTTTAAATATTGTTCACAGGATTGTTCAAAAATTTGTTACTATTATTATTATATACCTTGAGATTACTTTGTACAAACTGTTATAGTCATTTTCGAATTATTTTTGTGATTTATACTATAGCAAAAGCTTTATAGATTTATAATAGATCTGTAAAAACTTTTACAGTCAAAATAAATCTAAGAGCCGATCTCAATAACTCATGAGGTGACCTGAATAAAAAATGTCATCTCTCCACACGAAGCGTATCATCTTATCAATATTCAAATTGAAGGTCCCTCGCCGAGAGATCTCAGACACAGGGCACCATTAAATGGTGATAGGCAAAGAATGCCTCACTTAGGGACCCCAGTCGACCCTTTTATCTGGAAATAAGCTTATCATGTTTATGGATGCGAAGACTAAATGTATAGGCGCAGTGCGGTGTGAAAAGGTACACGATAACACACTTCCATTATAAGATCGTAAGATTTGGAAGGGGTCACCTATTCACCGAGACTTATGTGTTTACAACACTATTGACTGCCTCTATAGTGAAGTATAGAAGTTTATTCTACATATGGAAATCCCACCTTTTAATTTCGAATATCTAAAATATTTCGAATACTTGGTTACATTTTTTCTAGGTCGCTCTATTTAAATTAGTACTGTTATTATACAATTGTAGCATGGTAATTTAGAATACCGATTGTCTTATTAAAAAGAATAACGCCTAATAATTAACTAATACTTCCTTGTCTAAATATTTATTGTAATACATACATACTACTCGATATTGTCATACCCAAATAGTATAACAATATCTATGTAAGTTGAATCTTTACTCAAATAATATTATTAATGATAGTTATTTTTGTTTTCATAATATGTAGTTATATTATACAATAATATAATTATTGTTTAATATATACAATAATTCTACATACAATAACATAACATATAGTCATGACATGACTGGTTTACTATTCCTATTTATATAGTCTTATAAAACGCCAATATATATATAAATAAACGATTTTAATATTTTGAATGGCCTGTATAATGGCTAGTTACACGATAAAAAGCAGTGAAATAGAAATAAGAAATATATGTACCTGGTAAACAGAATCAGTACTTTTGTTTATAATCGGATTAGTTTTAGAAGCATTCCTTGTCTTCAGTCTCAGGCACAGGTACGTTCGGGATGGTTTGCATACGTGCTCTTTTAGAGTCATAGGCGGGACGCGACAGTTACAAGCACCTATTGTCCGATACATACGCTAATTTGGTAAACAATTGCTGTAGTTTATAATGACATACAGTGGTATTCCTGCGGTTTTATAATGAATATATACAACATACTCGGTATAGCATATCGTTCACAGAGTGGCGGCGAAATAGGTCGATCTAAGTACATATGTATGTGTATAGGAAGGTAGAAGGAAATTAATTGCATATTATGTACCGTATAAAATATGTACAAATCAATTACAAACTCATTCGCGTAATAAAGATGATTCTTCTCGACTAATTTACATTTGGAATAAAAATTTGAACATTTTATTTAATATGACTATTCTAACATATGCAGGAATACAAAATAACGTGGTTGTTTATTATGCAAAAGTCTTGTGCGTATATTATTTTATTATGTGCCATAAAAGACCGCACAAAATGTTTTTGATGTTGCAATTTCCTCAATAATTTATTATACGGCAAGGTTATTTTCCTTATCGTCATAAAGTAATAATAATACAGAGTAAACGGTAGAGAATCTGAGATTTACGAAATTCACTTGAATTATATAACAGACGGTAGCAAAATTGTTGTAGACGCAGTTGTACATTACATAATACGATTGAAGGTAAATAAAATATAATGAAAAAAGAATTATATTATTTTCATAAAACGAATAGGTACGTATCCGTCGAACTTGACCTATCTTTATATCTTAAAAAAGAATTTCAAATATTCTTTAATTACACGTACATTTCGGTAAAGTATTCACAATATAAATAGGTTCTCAGATTAGGGTGTCTATAAGAGTGAAAGGAAATAATATTATAATATTAATCTTCATAAGACGCTAGTATGGATGTATACAATATACATAGATATATATGAATTCTCATGTATAATGATCAATATCAGTTTTTTAACTTTATAAATAAGGTAGATCAATAATATATTCCAGATCAATATTATCCTTGCCATAAATTTCAAATATTTAAAGTATTTTCCACAAACAACTATTCTATATACGATAAATTACTTTGCAATAAATTGCTCATCTGAAGTTGCTGGTTATATGTATAGAAGATAAGAATTCTATTCAGTATCTATAAATTGGAATATCTACCGCGACGATAGCATTAGCAAAGATGGAGGTTGCCATGTGGTCATTACATATTGGCAGAAGATTTTGAACTCTATGTATATTAATTATTTTCATATGTATATACCTACTGTTTAATAAACATAAACTTATTTATTTTTATACTCTACATGAATTGTATATTCCTCTAAAAATATCTATACCTATGTAAGTAAATTAGTTGGTACTGATGTTGGCACATGACAGAGACAAAAAATAATAAATTAAAAAAATAGCATTTTCCAATTAATATAAATTTTTATATATACAAAAATAACGGATTGTTGACTTATTCTTTATGTGCTGTCTCCAACTGGAGGTTGGCAATTATCGTGGCGATCTTAACCATGTCCACCGCTGTTTTGAACAGTGATTTGGTGTTAATCCCGTTTGTTGTCTAGCCGACGTATTACTTGAGTGTATTGTCCTTACCTTGGAGGATCGGGAGCGTGTTTCGCGACGCAAGTGAGATTGATATCCGAGCCAGCCCTTACGAATAGCTCTGGTCCAGATAGTATTTCCGCTTTTGAGACTGTTGACAAAAAAATTTGTTACTAGTAAAAACGTGGAATAAATTTAAAATTGTATAACGTGGTTTGACCAGGTTGATATGATTATGATCATTGACTATAGGATAAGAAATTACTTTATTACTAATATTAAATAAAACTATATAGAGGGATGTGTAGGGTATCAAATTATAAAATACGCGATTATTTCGTACTTCACATTTTTGCGACTTTTATAATTGGATAATGACAGCTAACCAGTGGAATAGTAAATAGGTTCAAGAAAAAAAAATCAAATGGACAAGAGTCAGATAAGTATTTTAAAATTTACAAATATCGACAGTTACAAATATCATTTTATTTCTCCGGACGTAATATACTAATGGATATATTTCGATTTATATTATTACCCCTTCTACAATACTAAATAGCGCCATAATAATTTATATATCTAATAATTATGCCTTTAAAATATTGTTTGCGAATGTTTTGTTCCCTAGAGCTCTATAAGCAATATCCTTATTGTTTTCTTTATCTTTCAAAGTAGAAAGCTCGCGATACAAATTATTATATTTCTTACAAAGAAACAATATTGCGTGAGAAAGTGTATTTTACGCAAAATTACAGTAATATATTTCCAGAATCTGATCCTTGGTGTAAACTTTCAAAGGGTTGCTTAATACCGTTACCTAAATAAAACCACAACTAACGATTAAGAAGTACAGAACATTGGAACGTAAAGGTTGATTTGAGATATACGAATAAATGTTACAATAAATTTCTGGAAATAGATTCTATTATGAATATAAATACATTTATATTGTAATATGTATTACAGAATGATTGAAATACAGGCAAGGGGCACACACACATGGAACAGAAATAAATACTTGGAAAATATTCTAAATCAGTACATTACACGTTAAAAGCGATAATATATACCTATAAATTGTAAAAGCTTTCGCTTGACTTAATAATTTTATATAATTCTGCGTGAAACGGAAGCATGCATTGTTGTTTTAGATATGGGACATAAATTTAACCTAATCAGCTATTTAAAGTACAGTTAAAAGATGAAGGACATATCCTAGGATTGTTAAATATAAGGAATGTCATGCAAATAGATTTTTTTAACGGCATCTATGCTTGGCAGAATGTGGACAACAACCACTTCAGTTCAATCACAAACGATGTTTTATTAGTCACGTTGTGTTTTAATTAACCACTCTTTCTTTCTTAATAATATTTTGTTGTAATTAAATATATTTTGCATTTTGTGTACTAATATTTGGTATTAAATGAGAACAATCAAACAAAAGAAATTGAGTCGGACGTCAGTCCTTAAAAATTTAATAATAAATTGAAGTGGAATTTAATTATGATTACATTTATAGTAATTTAGCTGACTAACTCAGGACTTCGTCCACGTCGAATATAACTATAATATATTTTTCTAAAATAAAAGTAGCCTAAGTTACTCCTTATTACATCAGCTACCTGCCAATAAAAGTCCCGTCAAAATCGGCTTAGCCATTTCTATGAGAAGCGGAACAAATAGATAGGCAGACAAAAATTGTAAAAAATGTTATTTTGGTGTATGTCCCGTATTTTATATATGAATATATGCATGTAGTAAAAAACGGTTATTTCAATACTACAAACAGACACTCCAATTTTATTTATATGTATAGATATATTTACTACAACGATGGTACGATAAGAATATCTTTTTTGTTGAGATGTTAGTGGGGATTATGATTTATTATGAACTACTCCGACGTGAGTGATAATGGAGTGATAATGGAATATAGTAATTTATAGGTTTATCTTTGCGTGTATATAGGATTATCCATATCGACTAAAGATCCCACGCTTTAAAATTTTCATCATTTGTGTGAACTTTTCTTATGATCGTGAAAAATTTTGATGAAAAAATACTTATAAATTCTAGTACTTCTAATATATTCTCTTTTACTTGAAACTACTTGTTATTAAAAGTTTGTATGGTATTTGAAAGGTTTGAGATATGATGTTAAAAATTAAATGGTATTAAATGACATCAGACAAAACGTGTTATTTCGTAAAAGGAAAACCTTTTTTTTTTTTGCATCACTTACTCTTCTGCTTATTTCTGTATTTATCTACTTCATGTGGTATTATTTTTACAATTTGTAAAGCATATGCACTGACCTGTAATTTAATTGCGTGGGATTTACGTCAGAAATATACGAGTATGTTACGTAATATAAAATGTATCACAATATAACTTCATTTTTGTTACGTGCGTATTGGAATAAAAACCAAAATAAAATATTTCCATCTTATTCCAATAAAATATTTTGTGATATTTTCATTACAATTTTTAGTTGTTTTTTATAAATATAACTTTGACGGCCTGGGCGATCTAGCAGTTTAACAAACCACTTCAATTCCAATGATCACAGGTTCGATTCCACGCATGGTACCAATATTTGCATTTATGGGTATGATTGTTTGTATTGGTCAAGCTGTTATCTATTTAAATTACTTATGTATTTAATAAAAATATCTATTAGGCTAGGTATTTATCTGTTGCCTAGTATCTGTAACATAGCTCTGCTTAGCTTAATTATTTCATTACGATTAGCATTATCTAATATTAATACATAACCATCTATGTAAATTTCACATTGATTCACACAATTAAAGCCGCGTTACATTACGATAGTCTGAGATACTCACCAACAACTGTCAGACGAAAAGACAGACTAATCTTAGGCTCAGTAGAAACTTGACATTCGTAAGCCCCCGAGTCTCGAGGTTGAGCGGGCGCCACTCTAAGCGTCCATTCGTCCGATCCGTCAGCGTGGAGCGCAGCGAACCTTGCATCACTGCTGTACGTATGCACACCCACAGTTAGGATGTGTAAATCACGCTTACGGATCCAGGATACCTGCGAATATTAATCTGCATTAGTCAATGTGACTGCGGCATTTGTGATTGTTAGAGTTTGGATGTATGAAACACCCATACAAATTGTGGATTATTGGAGAAGTCCTAAATTATATTACAGTAAATCTCCTCCCCTTCCGTCACAACTGATTATATTGAAATTGAAATGTCATATAATATATGACATAAAAATTCTAGGTGGGTGAATGTGCATCAAGCACCATATAATAATTGTATTTTTTATATATCATTTTTTCTATTATAATTATTGGTGTCGCGTACAAGCAGAAACAAAACGCAACACAAAAGGAGCGTTCTGATTGGAGCGCACACCCATCCAATTTAAATATGCAACGTATTGTAACAGACTTAAAATATCAACCGACCGATCTAACGTACATTTTGTTCACTCCACCAAATTTGTAATTATCACAGTATTTAACCATTAAATTCAAGACTATAAGCAATTCTATCATTTTCTACAACCCGTAATCTGCTGAAGCCAACATCACCTACCATCTGAGCATTCGAGCCGCATCATCACGTACCAATTGGTTTTTAAATATGTCTTACTATCAGCGTCCTTAGTTTCTCTTTATATTACAATTATTACTATATATCATACAGCCCATAAGAAACCTCAGTCGTTAAAAGTGAGAATGTCAAACGTTGTCGCCCCCAGCCCCTCCGGTTAACAAGTGACGTAATTCATAAATAGCATGTGACGTTGATAGATTTCAGTATCAAGTACTAACTTCACACTTCAAAATTTCCACATTATAACACTATGAACACAGCCAATGGACGTAGTTAGAGTATGAGTTAGTTAGTTATAAATAATAACTGTTGGTATCACATAATACACTGGAATTGCAGTGCTAAAATTCATTAAAACTAACTACACAACAAATATTAAATCATTTCTGTCTTATAGTAGTTAGATCTCGTGAATAAATAATATACAATGATTTTTACCAAACCTCATTATTGCAATTTATATTATTATTAATATTTATTATTATTATTGCAAGAGCTAAACCCCGAAAAAAATATAAGACAGAAAACAGAAATTTATTGACAGAATAGTTAAAATCTGGCTATTTATAAGTTTTCTATATAATTTGAGATTAACAAAGTATGATATAGAAATATAAGTATTATATTATTAATTCATTTATATACACAAAGGACGAGAGTTATTTATCAGGACGCCTACTTAAATTCGGAGCACATAATTTTGATAATTTCATCAAGGGGCACTTGAGAAGGCAATGAAAGTCAATGTAATTTATGAGATAATTGTAATACAAAGTGGAAACAAGTATTTCAGGCCCTTCCGTTTAGTGCAGCCACGTCGAGCGTATCTGCTTGAATTTGTATTCTGAACGATTCACAGCGGGGTTTTAAAACTTTCTTCGTGACACGGTTTAAAGCGTGGCGGCGACAGAACTAACTGGATATACATAACTAGAAATCCCCGACTATTCTTTTTCTCAATGCTTAAGTTTTATGGGTCAAACCTAGATCAAACGGGACTTTATTCTTCCTAACTAGAAAAGCATTGACAGCGCTTAGTTGACACTGCTGGTTATATTTCTTAAATAAAATTGTATTTATTACACCAATTCTCTTTTTTTTTTAAACCTTAAGTATATTATTAAGATAGTTTAAAATAGGAAAAATAAATAAAATAGACATACGTCTGTTTATGTTATAGACATAAACACACGTATGTATTAATTATTTGTACTGTGCGTATCGAAATGTGCTGATGAGAAAGATGAGATATGCACGCGCCGAAGTTTAAACCGGCTCTAATATCCCAATTTCAATATGGAAAACTTTCTAACTATATTGAAATATTAGAATATTGTTAATTTAATATTAAATCTATAAAGTTCTTTATATTATGAGTTCAAAGACACATACGAGAGAGTTTATAAGAAATAATAAGCAATTACAACATCAAATATTAGAATATTGTTAATTTAATATTAAATCTATAAAGTGACACCTATTTTGTTAGTTGTAGTTTTTTTGGTTAATAATTAATTTATTACAAAAGTAAATTTAATTTGACAATATATGGTTTTTTATGCCTGCTGGATGTCACTACTGTAATTGACTTAAATTGATGTTAAAGTGAACCATATACTTACACGTTTTTCCTAGAGAGTTTATAAGAAATAATAAGCAATTACAACTACATACTTCATTTTATATTGACAAAATATTTTAGTAATTACAATATTCGATAAACGGCCAGAGACTTATTGTATCCGTTTACTTATGGCATCAATTTAGCTACCCGAAGATATTGTTTATTAAGTGTTTTTTAAATATCAAATTTATGTTAAAATTCAACAAGCATTAACATTGCTCCCAAAATAGAACGGTGTATACAACTAGATTACAATAGAAAATATCTAAAAATATGTAATCCTTTCTATCAGAACAATAAAGATTCTTACTACTTAAATTTATCTGTATACTAGTATATTGTAATCTAAAAACATTGTACGTACACAATGCCCAAGAAATTGTTTGTGGATGATACCACAGATAACATAATGATACCACTATTTTTTTTTCAATACGAAAGTGGCGTATTGCAAAAATCAAACTCATCTCTTGCGAAAAATATTATATAAATACATAAAAGATTTATTACTTTTGGCAATAATTGAAATCGCCAGTCAAAACGTGACTCGAGGTATAAGTGAGGTGAATCAGCGAATCTTCAATGAGTCAGCCCTTCAACAGCAATTTGGCCACTATTCAGTCGTCGGTCGCATCGGAAACCACATAAAAGATTGCCCACTCCAATGAATGGCGCTGTTATGCCTGGGTAAAAAGCTAAATGTCTTTTACTCTATACATTAGGTACATACTATGTATATTCATATTTTAATAAGATAAATTTCCAAACCTAGGGTGAGTGTTTTACATATTTGTTACTTACTATATAGACTGCATTTGAAAAGGTAGTCGGATTTATTGTTTGGAACAAAGTCATCTTTGATGCTACAACGACCAACTTCAATTTTGATGAACTTATATGCATATCACGAAAGCAAGACACTTCAAAAAGGTAAAAGTAAATATTAAAGCCCTAGAATTTATAAACATACCTCGTAGGTACAATAGGTACTAATTATCCTGTTCAACAATTGTTCCTCTAGTAGGGTATTCATTAAAATTACTAACATTTTAAATATTATGCGAATTTCATATTTGTGTGTGTGGAGAATCTTTCAGAACTACTACATTTATTTAATAATATATTTGAATAATTATGAAGATTGCCTTAGATAGCCTAAGGCGATCTTTGTAATTATTTTGTATTGTTAAGCCCACTTCAGATGCCTACATGGTACGGTAGTGTTTACCAGTTACCAGATGGGCCGTATATTTGATTGCCACTTCTGTGGTATGAAAAAAACTTTTTCTTCCATACTTGTTCTGATTTATGCTTTTATTATTGCATATGTCACGTCGGTGGTTAATAGACAAAATGTATAAATAAAAAATACAATGAAATTAAGAAGCAACTCATATAACTGAATTTTAATTACAATTAAGTTTAGGCGTGAAAAGATAAGACAGACAGAGTTATTTCCACATTGAGATTACCGGTTAGCAAAAAGGTATATGGGGGTAGAACTAAATAGCGTCATGTAGCCAGTTCAGGTCGTTGAGCCCATACTAAAGTAGATAAGTACTTGCAAGCGACGTTGACAGGAGTTCGACATTGTAATTCTAATGTATCTGTACGATAAATGATGGCGGTAGTACTACTGTCACCACTTTATGCCCCATTAGACTGGAAATGTTATTATGAATAATACATTTGATTATAGGTTATTTATTGTGGACAGTAGTATGTGTAAACACAGTGCCAGGCATTTATTACCGTATTAAGTGAAAACGGCAGAACATAATTTCTTTATAATTTGGTACTTATGACTTTCTTTTACAGAATGTACAGAACTCAAGTCTCGCACGTTACGTTACGTTACGAGTAATGGCTTGAAAATCGATCACTATTAGTTTTAATGTGCCGCTTTAATATTTTTTTTTTTATATAACTGGAATGCCAAACAGGTAACGCCCTACCTAACGGTAAGTGCTAATCGTCGCCTATATACATGAATAGCCCCACGGTCACGCACAACAACCCAAATCACAGGCTAAATGTGGAAAATAGAGTCATACAGTACATCCGTTATCATGTAACGACCGTGATATCACACTTTTGCTTTTGTTGCCATTCCACGGGATTAAGATATCATGCTTTCATATCCTACAATTTCTGCCCTATCTTACTTTTCAACTGAAACATCTTAAGCCAGCTGTTTGGTGGTCGAGTCAGGCGAGACAGAGGTATCACCCTAGACAACTGTTTACAAAGTCCACCTCGTTAAAATTTGATTTTAGACTCGATCGCGTATAAAGTCGGTCTACATGTTGATTCACCTTGACATATGTTACGATGATTGATGAATTCTATTGTTTAATCCATTTGTCCATGTACGTCTATAATTAGTTCAAACATAAATAGTAATTAACACAATAATTCGTTTTCTATGTATAATCTGTTTTTATTCCATTTGTAAATGGTTTAAATTCAAATTAATTTATAGCATGAAAATGGCAGGATTATTCGATTTTAAACCATAATTTATACGTATACGATATTTACCGTGCATGACGCCCACCCATGACCAACAGGCAATATCTTTATCAAATTTGAGCGGTTGTCGATGATTTATTTTTGCATTCCACAAGGTCTACTCCCATGATTGTCCTGTATTAATCTTCTCAAATTCGTTGTTTTGCATAAACATACTTTTGTTTATTTTATTATTAAAATTGCTTGTTTTTTATTAAGAAACTTATTATAAATTTTGTAATGACATATTGTAAATTAAATAATGTAATTATAATATTGTACTGGGTGAAAACTGTGATCGGTACAGCCTATGCTGTAAGTAATATAATTGACGAGTG